GGGTGACAATACCATGTGATGTCCCACAGCGGCCCTCCAGACAAAGCTGGATGACTTCAGCAAGACCTACAACCTGCAGCAAAAAGAACTGGAGCAGTCGTTTGGGGGTCCAATGGCACACTGATGCCACACACTGTTGTTGTACCATTAAAGTTTCTCCCCCTCACTCTCTCTGTGTTTACATTGTTGTTGTTTTTATCCCCTTGTACAAAGATTACATGAATTCCATGAGTTCATGCTCCTCAAGCTGTTTTATGACAAGCAGCGGCCTCTCCCAAAGGTCCTGTTTAGTGCATCTAATGCAAGCCAAAATGTGTTCTGGAACTGGAGGTGCCAAGCTACATTTTATGGAGGAGAAAGACTAAAAATCCTCATTTCAACTGACTCAGTTGATGGATTTCAGAAAGGGTCCACTCTCCAGGGATACGGAGGAGCTGTGTCTGTACTCATGTCAGAGTCGGCAGCAAAGACTTCCATGTTAGGAACGGTCTCAAATTACAGGCAAAGTCAGACTTTCACCAAAGTGCGTCTGGATCATTGTGCCATGATCAACGAAAGCTGTACCCCTACACCCCATTCCATGAGATCATGAACTCGTGGAATTCATGTAATCTTTACATAAGGGGATAAGAAACAACAACAACACACTTTTTACCAATTTGGTGTTATCTTGAAGGTAGAGGCTGCCTGGCCGGCATTCATATTTCCCTAAATATAAAAGACACTTTTGGCAAAAAAAAAAATTATTATCTCAACATTTCAACAAAAAGCTTTTATCCTTGTCTTTCAGGAAAAATAATATTTTATTCATATTTTTCCTGATGAGAGAACAAAAGATTTTTGCTGAAACATTGACAAAATCAAATGGATTTGGTCTTATTACCTTGTATTTGGTAACAAAATACACAATTTTGTCTAATATCACTTATTTCTGATTTCTTTTAAAAGAGTGATTAGTAAATTAAATTCAATTGCCATCTATCGTTAAAAATTGTAACAAATAAATTTACTAGCAATGTGTTTCTTTTCAATAATATCATCAAATATTATCTCTACAGACCTTACTGCAATGATATAAGTTATTGAATGCTGAGAGGGTTTACTACTGAGGTTCAATAAATTTTACCATTGCAGTAAGGTCTATAAAAATAATATTTGGTGATATTGTTCCAAAATAACTATTAGGTAACGCTAAAAAATAGCAAACTAGTTTGTGATATTTGCAATAATGAATAACATGTGAAGGTTATTCACATATTAAAACAAAAGGTTAATGCGGGATACAGTCCCGGTTCATGACTGTCGGGAATCGAAGGTGTTACCCACTCGTCCACCGTCTCTTCTGTTTGGTAATCTTGTTGAAAAGAAACACACTTTGCAGGTAAATTTATTTGTACAAATTAGTATGTACATTATTTCAATGAATTGAAAATGAATTTATTATATAAGCATGAGAAAAAAATGTAAAATAATATGTTAAAGGCAAGAGAAAAATGTTTGTTAACTTTATTTGAAAGGGGCAATGTATGAAGAGTGCTTTCAAGCAACAAGTATCAGAGACATTGTGAACTTTGTAACAGAGTGTGTAATATAGATTGAAATTTTACTAGGAGGAGATTGATATATAAAAATAATGGTTGCCTCTCTCGACAAAATAGATATAGACTCATTGAATAAAGTCCGCTCTTGACTGAAGAGTGTCATAGCCTAAAACCATGGTCTCCAGGTGAATGCTTCTCAGTTTGCCAAAACTGGTGTTGTGGCTTTGTCACCGACCTGAATCCTCTTGTTTGCGGCGATGGTCAATAGATGGGGTATAGTTTTGACGTCTATTTTGATGGGAGAAGTGATGTAGTATATGATAAATTGTAAAAAATAATTATATAACTTTTGTTTCTTATCCCCTTGAGTAAAGATTACACAAATTCCATGAGTTCATGCTCCTTGAGCTGTTTTATGATAAGCAGCAGCCTCTCCCAAAGGTCCTGTTTAGTGCATCTAATGAAAGCCAAAATGTGTTCTGGAGCTGCAGGTGCCAAGCTACATTTTGGGCAAGTGGGGGAGATTTTGTTATTTTCTATCTTCAATGGCTTGAGATGGCCTGTTCTAAATCTTGTTAGTGTTATTTGATGCTGTCTATTTCTGATGTTCAGAGCTCCTCCTGGGTTTATAACTTTTAATATATAATTAATAAGCCTTTGCCTTGGAATGTTATTGATTTTTAAATTAGACATGGGGGTCTGTGGAAGGATGGCCTAAACCGTTGGTTTTTGACTGCTACGACCCAGGTTCGATTCCCGTATTGGACACTTTTTTTCTAATATAAAAAAAAAATGATCCAATGGCCCCCGAATCTTGCAAAAGTCCAACCCACCAGCGAGTGCAAATAACCAAACAGGGCTCTGTCACATTTGTAAGTGCAAAGTCAAACTGCTTTCACATGTGGTACACTTACAATAAAAACAGTCGCCTACTTCTACCCACCATGATTATAATGGCCTGTACTACGTGTACTAGGGATAAGCATAAAAAATTAGACATAGAGATACATAAAGGCTATAAAGATAAGAAGAACATATCATCAAAGGACTTCTTTCACAAGATATTTTGTATTGATATATTGCATTGATATTCAGTATTAATGTATGGAAATAAGTAATTGGGCAATTAAAACACACACAAAATGACCATCATTAAGAGGTAGTGTTTTTATGTGTGTGTGCATTGCTGCTCTTTAGCTGCCACCATGTCTATCCAAGGCTTCACAACGGTCTACAGGACATTGATGTAGGTGTCAGCGTTCATCCTAAGTCCCTTCTCAAAGAAATAGGAAGGCATGACATCGCCTTCACTGCTGATAATGCCAAGGACCATCACGGAGGCAGGAAATTCCATGTACATCATGACGGGTACTTCAAGGGGGTCTTTACAGATACAGGATCATTCCTGGGATTTTCCTTTTGGTCCACGACAAAGTTATTTTTATCAGAGAAGAACCTTCCACACACACACAAATTGTTTCCGATTGTTTAGGATAGTGGCATCATTGCCTTTTCTGTTATCCTTCATATTCTAGGTCAGAAACTGGCATTTTTCCGAAGGCCATGGAATTTGAGACCAAGGTCCTCATGGATAGTTCTGACAATGGTCCTAGATCCAATGTCCATTTCATTGGCTATGGCCTTCATGCTCTTCCTAGGGTTTTCATCAATCTTTTCCTTGACATTTTTGACAAATTCTTCGCCTCTTACTCTGTCTGCTCGACCCAAGTGCTTTTCCATGCAGCCATTCCCTTTTTGTTGCTACCGTCCACATCAAACTGATTCTTGACACAATAAACAGTGGTTTTAGGAAACTTAAGAAAGTTCACTGTCTCTCAGACTTCTTCCAGCGCACAGAGCAACGATTATGGCTAGTCAATTTTCAAATTCTCTATTATTGTTCATTACTACACTGCACACACACATGGCTTTGGAATGAAAAAAAAAAGCAAGTTTTATTAATCTAAAGTAGTATTTGTGTATTATTGACTGCCAAAGTTATTCTCAATTTACCTGGTACACTCTGTCAAAGTATGCATGTTTGTAATAATTAGTACACACTCAGAAGAGACAGAGGCAATTTTGCTCATACTTGGTTATCTTGTGCGTCTTCTGAATCCTAATATACATGCTAAAAGGTACAACTTCCTTTAATTTTGTCCATGAGTGTATATAATAAACGTGTGAAGTTGGCAACGATGAATGTGACGCACTGTAATACTTTTAAGCACGGTGCGCATACACTAATTACGGCCATTGTATGCCCCGAATATGATTTTTAAAATTCATCGAGTTATCAATGGTGCCGAATTATTGTTTGGTCAAATCGTTGGTTATTTGATAGGCTGGGACATGAAAATATGGTCCAATTAACGAGGTTATACTGCAAAGTAGAACCTCTCTGTAAAGGATAAAACCTGGTTGCAGGGCCAAAGTGCTCTTTAGGTAGAGGTTTTCTCTTACTTGGGAGTATTTTTGTATTATTATACCTAGTACACGTAGTACAGGCCATGATAATCATGAAGGGTAGAAGTTAAGACTGCTTTTACTGTAAGTGCACCACATGTAAAAAGCATTTTGACTTTTGCAACTTGAAAGTTGTTAAGTAGCAAAATGGATAATTTTGGTGATGAAAACTGTACTTTGTAGAGAGATAGCCTCTACCAAGTGTGTCATTTCATGGAGGTTCTGCCGTAATAGAATTAAATGATAGGGCCACTTTAAAATGAATTTATAACATGAATTACTTTTAATACAGTAGAACCTCCATTAGCGAACACTCATGCTAGCGTACACCTCTAAATAACGAACAGTTTTTACCGCCAAAATTGCCCTCTCATTGAAAACACGTTCGTGCTAGCAGACACCTCCAAACAGTGGACACTTTCCCAATGTATCATTTATTGATTTTACATATAATAGACAATTAAAAAATGTTTTATTGATACTCCAAATGTTACAAATATTAATCAGAAATTAAACAAAGATAAATGAAATTATTTACAATTTAGTGATAAAAAAGCTTTTCTCAGGAAGAGAGGCTCCTCCATCTTGTCCTCCTCCAGACAAGGACAGGATCTCTCAGTTCAATGTTGAGAGACATTCCTGCTAGCGGACAATACAGAACAAAAATTTGAGGTTGAACAAAGAATATAGTATAGCTTCATTAATTTGACCATGTTATTGTGTCCCAACATTGTCAAATAACGAACATCTTTATTAAACTATAATTTAACACTTTCGTTAATTCGACCAATTTTTAAAATCAAACTTCAACAACATTATATAATTCTTGTTTAAATACAATTTTATAGATAAAAGTGTAATACTTTAGCACGCTAGGCACAACAGCCGTAGTTAGCGTATGCCCACCGTGCTTAATAAAAGGGTTTTAATGCCACATTGCAAATATCGGTGCCGATGTTCGCGCGCGATTTTTGTTAGGCCTAACTTGAGCTTGCTCACATTATTAGTGGAAGGCTGGGTAAACCGTTTGGTTTTCGACCACTAGGACCCGGGTTCGATTCCCGCATTGGGCACTTTTTTCTGTTTAAAAAAAAAATGCTCCAATGGCCCCCGATTCTTGCAAAAGTCCAACCCCACCAGCGAGTGCAAGTAACCAAACGGGGCTCTGGCATTTGTAAGTGCAAAGTCAAACTGCTTTTCACATGTGTAGACATGTGGTGCGCTTACAGTAAAAGCAGTCGCTAACTACCCACCATGATTATCATGGCCTGTACCACGTGTACTAGGGATAAGCAAAAAAAAAAAAATAATTAAAAACATGCCTGTTCCAAAATAACTTAATTAGGTACCGCTCAAAAAGAGCAACACCTAGCTTATGTTATTTACATTAGAAATATGAACAGGTTCCTCATAGAAAACAGTGTACAATGATCCTGATTCATGGCTGTCTGGAATCGAAGGTTTTAACCACTCGTCCACCGATTCTTCCAATTAAAAATATATTACAACAGTATACTCATGGATAAAACTTTTATAATGTATATCGGAATTCAGACCATAACTCTGAAAGATATTACAGTGACCTTTATTGAAGACATGTGAGATAACCTAGTGTGAACAAAATTGCCTCTGTCTCCTTCAAAAAAAAAAAAAATAGATGACCGGTTATATAAAGGACTTTCCACTTCCCTAATTTTTGTCTATGATTGTATTTCAGAATTTTTTTATGAATTATTGTGATATTAGACTCATTTGATCTTTACATATTAGGAATCTGATACACCTGTATGTGATCTTTCTGTAATGGTACAGTTTAGTGGTATGAGAATAGTTTGTTTTATTACTATATCTATAAAATAAAAGGATTTAAAGCGTGAATGTTTCTTTTATAATAATACAAACTTCTACTGTCCTTACTGCGATGAAAAAATATATT